GAAGAAAAGAACAAGGCAGTAGGCTTCAAATCATGGAATGGCCAGCACAGTCTCCAGGCAGCTGGTTTGGGATGAACTGGACAGAAGAGTGAAAGCCAAGTAACCTTCAAGTACAACACATTTGTGGGAACTTCTACAACAGTGTGGGGAAGAACTCTCTGAACAATATTTGATTTCCCTTGAAGAAAGAATGCTATAATTCGGCTGTTATATCTGCAAAAGGTGGCTACTTTGATAAGTTAAAAATTTAGATTACATATTGTTAAATAAAACGATTCCATTATTTCTTTTTGATGTCCAATTGTTTTTGTTCTATGCTTTATTTGCAGAGTACATTGCGACACGAAACTGCATAAATTTCAATCAAACTGGTAGTGTATGTATGTGTGAATATATATACTGTATATAATATGTCCTGACAGATATTTAGGGCCTTTTTTCCTCTCTCTTTTCTGCTGTAGGAGCCTACTGGTGGGTAAAAAGGGTGAGTGCTGACAGAACAATAAAATAGGGACATGTTTTTCTTGTTTGCTTTGGGGTACCCATTAGGGATATCCCTGTTAATCAGGAGCTGACCTACATTAAGTTTGTGAGTAGATTGTTTTCTGCTATAGATTTGTTTTACAAAGGCCTCCTGCATTGAAAACTCGTGTTTGTCTGCTGCCTTGCTGAATACAAGTACAGGACAAACCTGCTTGGACTGTTTCTGTGAGTGTCTCTGTCTTGTGCAGAGTTTACTGCTGCCAATACCAGTTGAACCAGTCCTCCTTACTATAAATAAACACGCATATCTAAAAATATGTAAATTTATATGTATACCTATATACAACCACACACACAAGTAGGCAGCAGATTGACTCCCCTGCCAGGCTGTGCATTTTGACAGATGTGTGTGAATTGCAAAACATGTTAAGCAAAACCACAAATCACCTGCCAAGTAAAGTACATATAAGTGTATTACTACTGTGTATTTAGCTGTTTGCCTGGAGTTCACATTTAATACCTTATTATTTTTGGATACAGTACATGTTCCAGTTCATTATACTGTGGTGTAACGGTTTACTTTAATGAAACTGTTATGAGCAGTCTCTAAGGGATATTAGAAGGGAGATGAGTAGGGATGGCTAAATAAACAGGAGACTGCTAAAATAGCAGGAAGGGAATTTGAAAAGAATTGGGAGGAAGAGCTTTGTAAACAAAGTAGGAATAGAAACCTGTAAATGCAAAATGGAAATGTTCTTCTACAGCAGTAAAAGCTATAGGACTATTTTGGTGTTTTCTTTAGTTTGTAGTTTCACTTATTTGTTGCTGTGAGCTATCTACCATTTGGAATTGGCCAAACCAGTCTTTCCAGTTCTCTCCTGCATCAGCTATTACAGACTTGAACGTTTGCAAACAATCACTAAAAGCCACATATTTTCTGAAAGCTGAGGACCTATAGAATACAAAATGGTATTCTTGATTTAGTGCGACTTTTTATAGTTGTACAAATGGTTCTCAAAGCAAAACATTAAATTAAAATATAATGTAATTATATAGAGAATATTAAAATTCCATCTGTTTAGTGTTATACTAAAATGATGCCTCTAATATTATTCTGATGTGTTAGTCGAACTCCTACAGGGATACCTAGTGTGTATAGCGCTTCAGTCATTTTATATATGGCTGTAGCTCCTTATTGTATACATGTACTATGTATATGGGGTGTTTTTTAAAATGTATTGCATTTGGCCTATTTTCTCATTTTGAAAAGTTTTTATGTAATTTATTTTTTTATATATAGCAACAAGGGGACAGGAAATGTCTCCATGTGACAACATACACAGACAGTGGCAGGTCTGCATTATGGAGACATCAGTGGCTTAAAGGAGAACTATGAGGTGAGTGCTTTTCACTCACCTCATAGTTCTAGCCGACCTGTGACAATGAGACTGTCACAGGTCGGCTCAGTAGATCGGGAAGTGAGCGAACACATACCGGCGTTCGCTCACTTCTCGATCCTGTCACAGCTCTCTGCCTTGACAGGGGAGTGGCTGGATTCCCCCCTCCTTGCTCTGATCCTCCAGCGCTGACTGGCGGAGCGGACGGGGGAGGGGGCGGGTACAGCTCTGCCTCTAGATAGGCAGAGCCAGCTGTCACTCACGCAGCTGGGCGGATCCAGACATAATTGTCGGCATCCGCTTCAGCTACGGCGTCTCAGTATACCGCTAGCTGTAGCTCGTGGCATACTGAGCTTAGGGTAACAGGAGGACGCTAGTTTGTGTCCTCCCGTTACCCTAAGGAGAACTATGGGGAAAAGCCCTAACCACATAGTTCTCCTTTAAACAGATCCTTGATGTTGCCACTGTGTGCTGCAATTATAGACAGGAGAATCCCCAACCTTCTGCTCCCCTGGCTCCCACTGGGATTTTGCAATCAAACTTTTTTACTGGAATAAACATTCTGTTTTTTAAAGTAACAGAAGTCATAGAAAAATAAATATAGGGAATACAGAGTAGTTCTCCATAACCATGTGAACAAACAATACAAGTAGGATACAATGGTATACAATCAAGAGTATGAGGGTAAAGTAAACTATAATAATCTCAACAAATAGAGATGGATAGAAAAAAGGGCGGATAGAATACAGTATATAATAGGGGCTATAAGAGAAGAAAAGAATAGATAAAGAAAAGGAGAGAAGGGAGTGAAAAGACATGCCAATACACCAAGTCACTATGGAGCTCTAATGGCAAGTACAGAGACTCCCAAAATTGATAATGTTATCAGAAATAACTTACAATCACAACATACAATAGAATACTATGACCAATCAGCACAGCGGAACTCATGAGGTAAGTAAACGGGATAATTGTTTGGGAAGATGCTAACCCAGGTAAAGATAACCAGATATTCCATAGCTTACTCAATTTGAGAGGACATCCCCTATGATAGACCAACCTCTTTTTTTTTCCAAGGCAGAGTAAATAGTATGATGTCACCTGAGAGAATATAGGTGGAATAGGGCAGATCCATTTCTTCAGTTTTCTAGCAATGAACAATAATCTAGTAACAGAAGGGATTAAAGAATCCATTGAAAGATCCTCAGGCAGAATGCTTAAAAGTTAAACACATATCCGAGGATCCATTGGCAACGTTATAGAGTATAACCTATTGAATATAGAATTCCAATATCTATGGAGTTTAGGACAGCGCCACAGAAGGTGAATCAATGTGCCATCCCCTTGTTATACCACATAAAGGATATTCCCTACAACCCCAATGAAACAGCTGTTTCAGTGTACAATATATTCGATGTAAGTTGAATTAACCTATGTGTAGAAGAGAGTGAGCAATTGGCATCTACTTCCAGTGCCTGATTCCAATGTTCCTGCGCTATATCACCCACATCTTGACACCACCCCTCCCGGCATCTAAGCTCTATCCCAGACCTGGTGGACAGGAGAAGTGCAAAATACGCTTTGGTGATCAAACCTCGTATAGAATCTTTGGCCTGAGCAAGGAGAGACAATACCCCCTTGTGATAGTGATAAGATTAATAACATAATTAAAAACACAGAAAATGTAAGGTAAAAATGTAAACCCCTTTGCTTGCTTTAATTTAATAGTTTTTGTGTATTGGGACATGTTTTTTAAGGTAGCCCATGCGCTGCGTGGCCAAAAGTAGTGCATGTGCCTTTTTTTGTCTGTCGAGAGCCCATTCAAAATGAATGAGCTACCTTAACACAATATGTCCCAATGCAAAAAAACTATTTTAGGTCTACTATATACTGTATGTGCATTGCCGTGCCATTAAAAAGAACGGCAACACATTGCAGCACAGATGTAATGTGCCTTATTCAGGTTTTATTGCATGATACCAAAATGGAAAACAGCCAGCCTGAAGACATCCATCTACGCACATGCATATAAGCTATTAGAATGGACGTACACAAGTAAACCTCTATTGCACAACACATTCGGTATCCCAACTCTAATTTGATAAGCTGTAAAAGTTTTTAATTAGTACCAGTTTGTTTTTGCTGTTTTACAAGCACACATGATTTTGAGGCTGAATATATTTTGTATTGATTATCAACTCTAAACAGTATTGTACTGTGTATTTAATGGAAAATGTCATGCTCATATTGTATTTGTGTGCACTATTAGTGTATTTTTTACTGCTAATATAGATTTCAAAAATATTAGTGCAAGGTGACTTGCACTCCACCCGTTTCATTTTTTTTTTTTCATCTTACCATCCGTAATTATTTTATCTTATCAAGTTGAAAAAAATATCTAGGGAGAAAGCCTGGTTCTAGAGTTAAATGAAAGGAGTTGTAAAGTCTCAGCATATACTATCCTGTTATAACATCAGCATTGTAATAGGAATACATTGCTGAGTTGGCTTATGTAGTGAGTGTTGCCCTCTGACTGCCTGTCACCCTCAACAACTTCCTGGACTCCCAGTGTGCTTTGCATCTCTTTTCCTGCTGCTTGATGTGATGCAATCTCGATTTCTCAAGACTATATATCCCCCAGCAAGCAATGATAATGTAACATTGTTCAGACGTTGAGCTGTACTAGAGGGCCGGCTCTGTGACTTGTGACATAAGGAAGTACATATTCACAGGGATGAGTGAAATTGTGTCACTGCCCTGAGGAAATACATCCTATGGTCATCATCAATAAGTATGTTTACAAACTTCTAGATCGATATGGTTATAAGGAGTGAGATCAAACTCATGGAAATTCAATATGGAGATACATTTTTTTTTTACCATAGATACCCTTTAAATCGGAGAGGGCACAGAAGAGTTTTTTTTGTTTTTGGCTAATAAAGGTAATAGCAGGCATCTTATAGTGTCAGCTCCTGGGTATTGTACAAACATGTAACAGGTTCATTTTAAAGTAACTGCAGTCTGCTGTTTTACTGTAGAGAATGTAAATGATTAATGAATGCCTTAGTTTGGTGTATACCAGTTTTCTGAATCGTGTTCCTTTTGCTTTTCCCTTCACAGAATTACCACTCGCTTGCTTCTTTTCTATGAAAAGTGATAACAGTTTAAAATATGGACTCTCTTCTCAGAGCTTAAATTCGCAGATATCAAATCATGCACTCAGCGAGAAGGGTTCCCTTCACTGCCTCTTTGATGGGGAAACTAAGGTAAGGAAATGTAAAATGTCTCTGCTGGAGACTGATAAAGCACCATAAATAATCATCCTGATGATGATCAAATACGCACATGTGTTATTTCCACATTTTGTTGTAATTCTGCAGGCTCTATTCTTGCTAACACATCTACTCTGTTAAAACACTTAGTGCTACGTCTATCATGTCTCTGTAGACACGAAGAAAAGGAAGCTGCCTGGTCGCTTCTCTGTTTATCTTTGTGTATACTTTGGCATCGCTGATAGCACTATTACCCTCACTATCAACAATATACCTCCTGTTTCCACATAGAGCAGCATTTATTGGACGTGAGTCGGTTGTGCACATTCCGCATTAAACCTCAGAGCCTCAATGTTGTGTTATAGACATACCTGGCTTAGAATACAGTTCTTTTCCTATCTAGAAGTATGCTATTTGCCTGTTGAGGACATCATTTTAGAGGTTTATTTAAATTGTAGGAACAAGAATTCGACTCTGTTTTCTGTCAGTCTTTAAAGAGTATCTCTGCTTTTTGGTGATCTGTGTACATTACATGGATTTTAACAAACTCTGTTAGGAAGAAAAAGCTGTTTGTTTCAGCATGTCCTTTCCAGACTGATCGCTGAATGTTAGGGTCTGTATTTGTAATAACCATCTGGCGTACTTTCTGTATTGTAATGAGGAACGTTGCAATGTCGGCATCCCTTTAGAAGAAATTAACCCTTAGGGAGTATCTGTTCAAAAATCAAATTCCAGTTGTAAGGGATACCTGAAATTGTACTTTTATCTTGGTGCAGACTTCTGGGAAAAATCAGTCAGCCAATCTCTGAAACAGGAAGTGACATTTCTGGGGGTGTTCTGTATACAGACTGCCTCCAGGTCGCCATATGGCATTCAGTTTTTTCGACAGTTGTAGAAAATCTCAGCGGCTACAATTTTTAAATGGAAAGGTAATTTTAATAACGTTAAATTACAGAATGGTCTGTTCAGAAATGATGTATGGTAGATCATTTTTTTCCCATTTTTATTTAAAGTTGAATTTCCCTTTAAACTTTCAGCAGTCAATTGTTTCATGGTTTCAAATGACCAGATGCTTGAAACAAGGGTTCTGAAAGTCGAGCAGGGCCAGTAAAAGTATTTTTAATTGATATCTACTCTTGTTTGATCAATTTATCCCTATAAAACAATTGCAGGTGGCAGATTGTATGACTGGTTTAAAATACATTCAGATTTTCCAATCAAATTCCGATACAAATTGGCACATGTATGGCCAGCATTAAACGTCTAGCTATAAGGGCAGCTCTGAGCACTGAAGATTACATGATCAAGTATGTAAAACGTATTTCTGTTTCGGAAATTTGTATTAAAGGTTCACAAAACAACTTTGATGTATGTTTGATCCTTATAAAGTGTGAGCTTTCACATATGCAGGTTAAAGTACTAAAAGCACACAACTTGGGGCAGATCAGGGGAAAATAGCCAAATATTCCAAAAAACAATGTGAGAATAAAAAGCAAATAGTTGGAGAAAATGGGTTTAGAGATGCTGCATATGTTTTTCTCCTGTGGCTTAGCAGGCAGTCATGTGGTATCTTTTGTTTCTTCTTCATTTTCTCGTGGCAGTGTGCATCAGTACTGTAGAGAACGGCGCTGATGTTGTGACATCAACACTACTTTCTTCAGTATTGTACTGTGAACCTAGGCTTACATGGTGTTGCACCTTCAATGGGTATGCCTTAGCAGCCTGGGCTCAGAGGAAGTGGGTTGAATGACACTGGCCATTATTCAACCTGTTAGAGCAGGGGTTCGCACCTCCAGCCCTCAAGGTGTTGTGGAGCTACAAGTCCCATGAGGCATTGCAAGACTGACAGTTACAGGTATGAGGCAGAGGCATGATGGGATTTGTATGGTTAAAGCACAGCTGGAGGGCTGGAGCTTCCCACCCCTGTGTTTGAGGAATGGCAGTGGAGCAACGGTTCTGTGGGGGACAGCACAGGAGACAAGGTGAGTGTTGCAGTGAGAGCTGCTTTTTTTTATTTTATAAAATTCTGGCCAACAAATGTATTGGGTTTATGAAACTGGGCTTCCCCTTCAATTATTTATTTCATGTGGATAAATATCAGTTAATTACCATTATTATGAAATATTTACTGTATGTTTGTGGATTGAATATTTTCGTAAATTATTTTAAGGGAAAGTAATGCAGTCAAGTATTTGCACTCGTGCATCTTGGGAAATTCACCCTAATGAATTAGTATATTTTTAATTGCATTGATTTGACTGTATTATGCTATATGTAAACACAATAAATGAAAAGTGCAACTGCTGGCTTCTTTTTTGTCCTGTATATCCTCTCTTCATTGGAATGCATTACCGTAATTATAGTGATGCCTTTTTGTCAGTGGATTTAAAAAAAGAATGCTTTCTGCGGCCTGGTGCCCAGAGCTGTCCCATTCATCAGATTAGCTGCAAGAATGAAATTGCAGTTTGCACATCCATGACTGATTCTGCAAGTCTGGTTGGCTCGCTTTGTGTGCCAATTTCTGGTTAACCTTGACTTTTCCACTTCAAAGTTTATTATGCAATTCAGTTTTTTTGGTTAAATTGTCTAAAACCAGTACACTTAAATGATGGAGGGAAGTTTAACCATTAAGTAAAGGATGTTTTTAACCTATAACTGCCTTTTTGGATGCAAAGCAGAGTTTGTGTCATGGGAATTCAGGTCAAGGTGTACTGGCAGTCATTTATAGTTGCCTTGCTATATCCAGAATAGTTTATCAATATATCATTCTTGAATTAGGCACTGGCAGTTCCACCTATGTATTCTGTAAATGGGCGTAACATGTTTTTATAAATGAGGATTCGGTAAACGGCTGTTTAGACTCCATGTGGGATGCCGAATTTTAGCCAGATCATTACTGGGCCAAGTGCTGTCTACAATTTATTACACGGATAACCTGGAGGAATCAAAAGAATGGTGAAACGGATCCATACGTCTGATGAATAAAACCTATGTTACTCTAATATATGGGTATTCTCATGTTGGTGCAGAGCTGGTGGCCAGAAATCTGTGTGTAGAGGCAGCTGAGGCTATACCCTGATACATGGTGGCAGTTACAGAGATACTTTCTATTCAGTTAATCCTGAAATTGGATACTATTGCTACTACTGTTATTCCTTTATGGTTGCTTGGTGATCCTGAATAACCTGATTGCAGCCACTTATGGTATGAATAACATACATTATACCTGTTTTCTCCATGTGAAGTGGAAAATTGACTTTTAACCACACATTATATTTTGAACCACGGAATTCCTGTTGATATTGGTATATTTGAAGTTCTATATATCTTTGTTATAAGGACTCATACTGGGGCATTTTTATTGGTCTTCTATGTTAGCATATCACTTAATGATAACTGTATTCTACATTTAACAGGATATAATATGGCCATATTATGTAATGCATTAAAGCGCTAAACTGGGGGGTGTTTGTGATACTTTTATCTGCAGAAAAATAATAGGTGTATTATTCTTGAAGATTTTGTACAGTGAGAAAAATAATTATTTGATCCACCTGCAAATTGTGTAAGTTTACCCACTTACAAAGAAATGAAAGGTCTATACTTTTTATAATAGGTGTATTTTAAATGATAGAGACGGAATATCAGCCAAAAATCCAGAAAAAACACATGATATAAATGTCATAAATTGAGTTACAGTTCAGTGAGTAAAATAAGTATTTGATCCCCTACCAACCAACAATAATTCTGGCTCCCACAGACTGGCTATGTTGTACACTGATTAGTCCTGTCAATTTAAGGTGGTGCTCCTAACGACAACTCGTTATGTATATAAAAGACACCTGTCCACAGAATCTCTTTCTTCCATTGAAACCTCACCACCACGGACAAGACCAAAGAGCTGGCAAAGGACGTTTGGGACAAGATTGTAGACCTGCACAAGGCTGGAGTGGGCTACAAGACTATCAGCAAGACGCTTGGTGAGAAGGAAACAACTGTTGGAGCGATTTGTTCGCAAATGGAAGGAATACAAAATAACCATCAATCGCCCTCAGTCTGGAGCACCATGCAAGATTTCGCATCATGGGGTAAGGATGATCATGAGAAAAGTGAGGGATCAGCCCCAGAATACATGTATGATAAATTATAGACCTTTCATTTCTTTGTAAGTGGGCAGACTTACAAAATCTGCAGGGGATCAAATCGTTATTCTCCTCACTGTATAGAATTTTTTTTATTAGTTTTTAATATGGTTATGAGCTGACATCCAATACATTGGAAGAGTAGGTGAGGTGTGGAAATTGTATGAAGGTGACTCGCAGCATTTAAAACATTTAGACTTCAGTAAACACATGGCTTAGAGGCTAGAGGTAAGCAGGGTCAACTTTTGGGGTGGGATAGTGAGGTAAGGTTGCTTGGGGAGTGGTTGAATAATTCTGTGTTAATGTTCAATTCTGTGTGTTTGTGTGTAATGCTGTTTGAATCTTACAGCTCAAATATAACAAACTTCCTAAAGCAAAAACAAAAAAAACACCTATTAACTATAGCATTGCTCAAAATGTCAAGTACTGAGCTACTAGCCAGGCCTCAAGAGTTACTAGCCACCAGTTGCCCCACCTAACCCTTACCCTGCCCTGGCCTTAACTCCGCCCCTAAACACACCCTCTTAAATAATCTAATGATTGTTATTTTATGATGCCGCTTGTAAACGGCAGATTAGGGATTCCTGCTGCAGGAAAACGCATGTTCCTGACAAAGGAATCTCTAATCACACCTGAAATATACTGCAGGTGTGAATGGGGCCTAACATACACTAAAAGTGTCCATACACCTGCCGATTATCGTACGATAATCGCGGGTGATCCCGCGATCGTACGATAATCGTATGATAATCGTATGATTATTGGCGGGTTGGTGGCATGCCGCACTGGCCGGTGTGCGCAAGCGCATACTGCCCACTCAATAGACCCAAATTTCCACTCACTTTATTTTTACTCGCCAAATGTGAGCAGGCAGGTGGAAATTTTGAGCCCTGAACTATAGCATATATGCACACTTTGCTACATGGTAACATTATCCTAAACTGTAAATGTGTTTTGGGTGGTGTTTGATTAGAACTATATATTTCCTGCTTTTTCTCAAAAATGTTGGTGAAACACTTGCCTTTCCTCAAACACATTGCCACACTGTTAAGACCTCCTACAGTCTTTTCTCATCGATGGGTGTGGCATATTTGTAGGGAAATATTCTTCACCTCTTCTTCACAGTGAATGCTCAGTACTGACTTTTAGAAATTCTCCAAAAAGCTGTATGTGATGCATGCTTCCAATGGTTAGAAGCACTGTTTATTGTCCCCTAGATAAACCCCTTAGGCCCAGATTATTGCAAGTGATGTACAAATTAGTGCATCAGTTAAGAATGGACTCTTAAAATCACGGCCAATCTGAGTTCAAGCGCGATATTCATCTGATGATCTCTGTTGCTGCCTATGTGTTAAAGATCTTCCCATGGAGGTCAGCTGATGCTCAGTGTTGACAAACAGCAACAGTGATGGCACTGAGAAGAGAAGATCATCAAGTCAGTTTTATTGTGTGATCTTACTGCAAAGGGAAGGTCAATTTAAAACACTGGCTGCCACCATGGCTCCCAATACTGCAAACATGAGTTACAATTTATTTTGTGTTCTTCTGTTATATTAGTTTCACCTTTTAAGTTGCATTAGTGAAATAAATTAACTTTGCACGATATTCTAATTATTCGAGTTTCACCTGTATACCCCTCTATACATTATTCAAATACTACATAAAGAATTTAGTTACACCAAGTAAATGCATTATAAATACTCAGTGACCACTTTATTAGGTAACCCTGTTTGTTGATGCAGATAGCCAAACAGTGTATAACCATGCACCATACTTAAATTAATCATACGGATGTGGTCAAGCGTTTATTTGCGCAACCAAACAATAAAATAAGAAATATTCATTATCTGTGTGACTTGCAGAAAGATTTTTGGTGCTGGATTGGTAGTTGCAATGTCTCAAAAACTATTGACTTCCTGGGATTTGCGCACACCAGTGTTAAAAACAAGAGATTTGCATTGAGGGGCAGTTCTGTAGGCATAAACCTTGTATATCTGAGAGGTGAGATGAGAATGAGTGAGTATACTTCTTTAAGCGGAACGGAAGTCCCCTAATGCTTTCTTAAAAGTGGTGAGCAAAAGAACATCATCTCTGAATGCAAACTTTGAAGATAGGCTGCAGCAGAAGGCCTAGTACTGTCAGGTAGGAATTGCACTTTAGGGGTAGATTGAGCGCAGAACCATAATTGATGAGCTTGACCTAGTGTGAAGAATTTGTTTCTGCTTCACCATACAGATAGTAAGTTTAGAATTTGGCATACACAGCATGCATCTATAGATAAGTCCTGTCCTGTTGTTGTGTAATGGTGTATGGAATATTTCTTGACACAATTAAAGCCTGATATTACTACCTTATACAGTGTAATTTTTAATGGGTCCTAGATAGAAGTTCCAAATCTCTAGACCTCCTATTTTTATTAAGTTTTACAATGAAAGATTTGAAATACAGAGAAACACGTAGTAGTGTCATTATTCCACACTGAATCAACACCAGGTACTAAATACAGTAATAAAAACAGTTTGTATCAAATCGGAACTCCAAGATAGTAGCACTCGGGTATATCTAGACTGAAAAATTATTGGGCAGAAATGTCATCTATCCTAAAGATAGTGGAGTTACAGATATAGGGCTGATGGGTTGCTTGAGGAAGTGCCAACCAAGAAAAAGTAGAGAGAGAGGAAAATCGAAGGGGGGTGGGGGTGAGAAGAGGGTAGAGACACTTTGAGGGGAGTTCCTGGGACATGGCAAAGCCAAAGAGGAGGTGCTTTCATGCTCCAATTTGCCTTGTTAAAGTTCTAATTAAGACTTTATCTGTGATTTTAGGAAGTCCATGCAAGGGTTACAAATCCTTTAGAACTGTGGCTGCATGTCCTCCACAATGTTGCCTAGATTTCATGAGCCATAACCCAGCAAAGTTTACCTTAAATGGGGAAACCATCTGAGTCTTTTCAAGCCTGTGCAATAGATATATTTACAGCCACCATTATTGGGAAGACCAAAGTCTGCAAGTGTGTTGAATGATGATATATTTGTTAATTCAAAAGGGCCACATGTGGTTTCCTGTTTCCCATTTTTGCAGCTAGATTGGCCTATTTTATATTTGTAACATGTTCACATTAACATAGCATACGTTTTTACTTTTGTGTGTAATGTTAAAGGATAATTTCACCTTCTAGACTGTGTTTCATGTTTCAACCATATTTAGGTTGTGACATTAAACATCTGCAGCCACCTCACCCTCAAACTGCCTCACTCCCCTTACTGTATCATGGGGTTATTCTTCTTGCAGCATCTTGGTTATATTTTAATTTGGCATAGTTGTGCATGGCTTTCCCAGCACAGCTGCATCATTCACAGAGCTATTCGTAGGATCTGTAAATGAAGTACTACATGTGCTCTGCTCTGTAGCAGAGGGACGCATAGATCGTAATGGACTACAAGTGGGGTGACGCTACTGCACTTGTAGTCCATCAATAACTTCCTCATAACAGCCCCGTAATCGAAAGTTCGAGAGAATAGTTGGGAGAATATTCTGCAGCACCCTGCGCACTGCACCAGCGAACTATTGATTTGTGGTTGCAATGCTTTGTAGGCTTATTCACAAAAAATGAATAAAAGCCCATCGTTGTTAACAGCGGGAGCAGCAACCATGGGAGAATGCCAGGTATGTCCTCCCAAAACAATGGGGCTGCCGTCCGGCCATATATGCATTGTGGCCAGTCTGCAGGTGGTTAAACAAAGAAGGGTAGTAGGCTTGGCAAAGCTGGGAGATAGAAGGGGCGAAATGTATCCCTAGATAGGGTAAATAGGTTGGTAACTAATTTGCCAATTAAAAACCTATATTTTTCACTTAATTCACTTATGAATTTTCATTTCACTTTCCTAAATCTATTATTTTTTTAAAGTTAGATGCCAAGACCTATGTGACTTCACCCCAGAAGTCTTCTACTTCATCGTCTCCTAAATATGGACATGGGAAGATTCAAAGCAGCCCTGATCACCACAGTGGAGGTGAGATAAAGTCGTAGACTGTTTTTTTGGTACTATATTTTTGGTACTATATTTTTTGTTATATTATTATTATTTTAAGTTTAGTTTTGTCAGTATGAGTGCCAAATTAAAAACTGACACATTCTTTAAACCACACCAGCCCGGACCTCTTAAGTGGTATACCTTTTAGTGGTCTACCTTTTGCGTAGACTTGACCTATGAAATTATACATGATGCTTTTGCGGTTTTACTGACAAACCTTGTATCAAGTATTTGTGACTAAAATTACATCTTTACAGAAGGGTTCTAACACTTTATGAATATATTAATAGACACTTTAGAGACTATTTTTTGTGTGTTTCATGTACCACCAGTCTTCAGGACGTGTCAGGTGAACTCCCAGTAAGAGTCTCTTCGGGTGCGGGATGTCTCCCCATATCTGGAAACAATAAAAAAAAGGGCAAAATACAGAACCTACAAAGGAGTTTTGTCACCATCGATCAGCCAGATATTGGAAGCTTTCAATGTTGACATAACTCCTACTTTTCAATTAATTTTGTCTGTACACAAACCTTTCCAGAATGGCATTGAACTATTTCATATTATGTGACTGTCTGACTTTGTACAAGGATATCTGAAAGTTAAACTTTTTTTTTTTAATTGTCCTAAAGTCAAATTAATTGCCATGAATTTAGCAGGCCTGAACTTCCTCATGTTCTGTAGAAACAAATCAAAATTGAAGGGAAAGAGATTGAAGTGAAAGTTTCTGCTTTTTGCTGTACTTTAATGACTAGTTCCAGTGTTTTAAACTGAAATAATGCGTCTCTGGTACACTTTTAGATGTACAACCCATAAGCCAAAGATTAAATTCCCAGCCCAGTGAACCGAAGGACATTGCCAGGCATAACATAGATCTTGGAAGACAAAGCCTGAAATTTGACTCCAGTTTTTATACAAAGTTTTGCAAAAGGCACTGGGCCACTTACAGGAGTAAGATTGTATGGGTTCTAAAAATCCTGTATACAAAAATTCCCATTCCAGGGAAAATATGTTCCCAATTCCCACCCCACTGTAACCCATCCTTCAAGGATTTTTTTCTTACCTGGTGGAACAAGATGTACTCACCTAAGTTCCCTGCCTAGGTCCCTTGCCGCTGCTGTTTCTGAGGGTTGGGGACCACTAATCAAGTACCAAAGATGTGCCCTAGACTGCTATTCCCATGCTGGCATCACTCCTCTTCTGGAACTTGAGAGGACCCTGCCATTGGACAGCCAAAAGGAAGTGTCCTTGTCACACAAGCAGTGACGTTGATACCGTAAAAAGGACCCTGCCGGATCGAAACAATGGAAGAGGTAAAACTCGGGATCTGAGCTTTAGGTGAGTAAAGAGGGCATTTGGTTCTTTTTTTTATTTTGTTATGGAGTCCAGATAGAGGGACGTGGGAGGAGGGATTATGTTTATCTCTGAAGCGGGCTTTCAAATGTATTTCCAGCCGTTACTCAAATTTACCCCAAACCTCCCTCTCCCCTATAAATCATGTGCAACCATTGTTTTTTTAAAACTTTTTTTCCTGTAGCAAGAAACCGCTTTTATTACCCCCGTGACATGATCACCAGCCTTGTAAAATCCTTGCAAGGGCAGCTGCTGGGAGCTCGTTTTATATCGACATGGCCGTGCCCCCAGAACTACATCTTCCAAGAGCCCTTTCCTACACACAGTGTGTGAAACTGGCTTTTTCAAGTCAAGGCAGCAGTGTTGTTTTGCCGGGAAATAAATCTATGTATGCAGGTGGAGAGGGGCAGGATAGATGGTGTTCTGTATTCCTGCAAGCAGGGCTGACAATGCTGCTTAGGCTTTCAGTACAGAAGAGCCACTGTGTTGTCAGCCCAATAAGGAAGTTAGGAACACATTGGATTTTTGGCAAACCAGCAGTTGTTTTTCTGTACTTGTATTGATTTTAAATGCATAAAACATGGAGAAATATGCACCTATTGGAGATATGTACTGAATATGTTTTTATATTTTGCCCCTACATACTTTTTAAGTATGGTTACCAGTATTGTAAGGAAAAAATTACATTTTCCGCCAATCATTGAACATCAATCCATACTGTAACTGAAAACGAAGCAGTAATAAATTATAAAACCGTTGACGTGTGTGTTAAATTACTTTTAACCAAACTGAACAATACTTTTAAAAGTGTGGTTTGCAGAAGGTTAAACATTCTAGGTTTGTTTTGTTTCTATCTATATTAGGTTTGTAACAGACAGCAGACTCGAGACCAGTTTTTCACCGGCCCCCTCCAGCTTATAATTAGATCACAATATGGAAGCATTTATGTAATTTCCACTAGTAATTGGAATATTACAAGGTTAAGTCATTTGTTTTTGCTTTTATTGATGTCAGTTGCTGTGTGTGTCTATTACGTTGATTATTGCAGCATACTACCTTCAAAAGTATGTCACATAAGGACTACTGATTTTTCCGTTGAGCAGCAGAATTTACAAGTCACACTTTATTACATTCAGCATATTTATTTCTACCAGCATATAACCCAGTTATTAGATGATTTGCTAAATATCATTTAGAAAGCACAGCAGGCACAACAAGGGTTTACAGCTTAATAGATGAGACAAATTCAGTCATCGCCTAAAGAATGGGCAGATGCGGAGCCATGTATGGGTCCACTAAAGGGCAAAAACACCACGTCGCACAGAAACATTTCATCGGTGGGAGCCTGCGTTTCCCCTTTGGTTTTTCAATTTTGCCAACTTTGGTCTGAGCCTTTGGGACTTTTCCAGAAGTCTAAGTCTAGATATTTTCAGCTTCAGCCCTCTAGCAGTGGTGCAACTACAAATACCATTAGGCATTGCAAAACTCTGACAGTCACAGGCATGACTGCCAGTGGCAGGTACATAATGGGGTTTGTAGATTCACCACAGCTGGAGGGCTGGAGGTGATCTTATAGCAGCAATATTCTACTTAAATGGCCTTAGTCAAAAGTGTGAAAGTCGTACACACTGGCCACAAAATCTCATCTTCAGTTGTCAGAGGGCAGAGTTGAGCATTGCCAAGACCGCTTAAATGTTGATCCCTTCTTATTAAACATGTTTATTGTTTCTGTTTTATCAATAAAACTTGGAACAATAATGAGATGGGACAGCTGCTGTCATTTATTGCCAATCGCTATAGATATTGAAGCCACCGTCTGATACCTGTGAGGCTTACTACATGCTTCCAATGCCACTTAGCTTAGTGTCAAGCAATTTTCTAAGTAGCCAGCTGGCATTGGAGCTTCTGTGTGAAGCTTCAGAACAAGATAAACCAACCAGGGCTATGGTGGTAATAGTATTTTACAGAAGAGTCTGAGAAGAGAACAAATAGAGATACTTGTTATATAACACACAATTCAGTGGTCCAGTGATGCTAGCAGTGCTAGCTGCCTGGCTGTGATGCAGATCTTGTCAATTCAGTGCTTTAAATATGTGACCCTAAAGAAGTTTGCATATGTCGAGTTTGGACTTCACTACCTGCATGCTTGTTTAGGGTCAGTGATTTAAAATGTTTTGAAACCCTAAAAGACTTTTTCACCCATGGAATTTACATGTATATATAAAATAGTTGTAATAAATACCCCTTCATTGCCAGGCCATTTTTCAGTTTTAAATGCTGTGATAGTTTGGCAGACCATTACTTGGGCATGTAACACTGCACCAACATACATTTTATATTATTTTCTTTTGGTGGCATTTAATAACTACTTTTTTTTTCCTTTTTCTTTCTTAGTATGTGCAGCATGTCACCCCCGGGGCCTCTCCAGCGAGAATGCGGCCCTTGTCCGGTACCCAGCCGGAGCCGTCCAATCAGGAAGCCGGGCGCCGTCTAATGACGTGACGCCCTGCTTTCTGATAGGCCGGGAAGCTGGCTTCATGCTCCCTCGTCATCTCATGACAAGAGAGCATGGAGCCGGCCTCCCGGCCAATCAGAAAGCAGGGCATTTCATCATTACACAGCGCCCGGCTTCCTGATTGGCCGACCAGACGGCTCCGGCTGGGTACCGGACGAAGGCCGCGTTCTGGCTGGAGAGGCCCCGGGGCTGACAGGCTGCACATACTAAGGTATGAGGGGACTTTCTTGTTAATCGGGAAGCCGGGTGGCGACTCTTTACATGCTGCCCGGCTAATCAGGAAGCCAGGTGGCGAGTCATTACACGCCACCTGGCTTCCTTAATGGGACTTCCGTTACTTGGTAATTGGTATCGGCGAGTACCGAAAAAAAATTATCGGTACTCGTACTCGGTACCAAAATACCCGTATCGGTGCATCCCTACTATTTATAATGGTCTGGCCCTCTAGCAACTTCAGCGCCAAATTATAGCTAATTTGCCTACAAACGTCAGGCGGTCATAATAATCTGGCCTCTCAGTGTATACACACAATCACTGGTGGTCAGTGGCACTTTAACCCCCCCACATGCATCTGTTAAAAAAATACTACACAATCATTGGTAGTCAGTTGCTTCCCCAGAAGATCATTGGTTGTCAGTGGAAATTTAAAACTCTCCTATCCCCCCAAAAATTCCACAATTATTGGTGGTCATTGACACTTCCCATCTGCCTAGAAGGAGGAGAACGTCTTGTTCTGAATCGGTTGAATGCTTGTAAACACTACTAGTGTTTACATCTCTGATGGTTGTGATTAGTTACACCAATCACAATGTACAGCGAAACATGCCCCTAATTGGCTCTGTACATCCTGACTGTGATATGAGCTGCCCATAAAACAGCTCTGATCATAGCCTTTTATGGGCACACTGGCCACCCAATGTGTTTTCTGAAGCACCATTTATTTACAGCACTCCAGAAATATACATCCAACTCCACCTTTTTTTTTTTGCAATGTGGAGGTACTTGGAGAATGATAAAATCTTTAGGACATGTCATTTGTAAACAATATACACATCTACTAGAAATCACATGCTAGCTATGCATCCTTATAGAATGTACAGTAAAGAGTTAGTAA